CACTTACAGAACAACAAAAAGCAGTGATCTGTGAACAGATCACTGTGAGCAGTGATCTGGGAACAGAAGCAGTGATCTGTGGGCCTGACAAGATGTCTCGGGAAGTGTGCTGTCTCGGGAAGTGTGCTGTCTCCCCGGGGCTAAGATCCAAGATGTAACTGAACGACTGCAAGGAATCATAAAACCCACTGACAAATACCCCTTCCTCTTGGTTCATGTGGGAACCAATGACACTGCAAGCAATAGCCTCCAGAAGATCAAAAGAGATTACGAGGCTCTGGGCAGGAAATTGAAGCAATTAAATGCACAAATTGTCATCTCATCTGTCCTCCCAGTTGAACGACGTGGCCCAGGGAGAGAGGAAAAAATAGTGGAAGTGAACAACTGGCTTCGCAAATGGTGCAAACAGGAACGGTTTGGATTCTTAGATCACGGAATGCAGTTTCTTGAAGATGGACTTCTGGCAAGCGATGGGCTGCACCTCACAACGGTTGGGAGGAATGTTTTTGCAAAAAATCTCAGAAACCTCATCAGGAGGGCTTTAAACTGACTAATGTGGGGGAGGGAGACAGTGCTCCTGAAGGTAGGAGTCTATCAATTGATGAAGATGATCATCCAAATGTCATAGACCGAATGGAGCAAAGAGCATGCAGACCTAGTGGTGGGAGGAGAAAATCCTTAAATAAGAGACACGGGGGAATGATTAATGGACTTCAATGTCTGTACACTAATGCGCAAAGCATGGGAAATAAACAAGATGAGCTTGAGCTCCTGGTACAGCAAACTAAATATGACATAATAGGAATCACTGAAACCTGGTGGGATAAATCCCACGATTGGAATGTAATAATGGAGGGATACAATCTATTTCAAAGAAACAGACCAGACAAGAAAGGAGGAGGAGTGGCGTTATATGTCAGGGATGTGTATACCTGTGAAGAGATCCAAGATTTAGAACCTCAAAGCCAAAGTGAGAGCATTTGGGTCAAAATTAAGGGAGAGAAGAATAACAGTGACCTCATTGTGGGAGTTTACTATAGATCCCCAAGCCAAACGGAGGACATAGATGATGCCTTCCTGGAACAGATGGCCAAGCATGCAAAAGGAAGGGAGATAGTAGTAATGGGGGACTTCAATTACCCGGATATTTGTTGGATGACAAACTCAGCCAAGAGCATAAGGTCAAACAGATTCCTCACTGCCCTTGCAGACAACTTCATTGTCCAGAAAGTGGGAGAAGCAACAAGAGGAACAGCCATTTTAGATCTGGTCCTAACCAATGTTGATGACCTGGTTAGTGGGGTAGAAGTGGAAGGATCATTAGGCGCGAGTGATCATGCTCTTCTGAAGTTTACTATACAGCGGAAAGGAGCAGCCAAGCATACTAGGACTCAATTTCTCGACTTTAAGAAAGCCGACTTCATAAAGCTTAGGGAAGTGCTGGGTGAGATCCCATGGACAGTAATACTAAAAGGAAAGGGAGTTCAAGATGGCTGGGAGTTTGTTAAGAGGGAGATAGTAAAAGCACAACTTCAGGCAATACCAATGAGACGGAAACATGGAAGGTGCCTAAAGAAGCCAGGGTGGCTATCTAAAGAACTTTTAACTGAGTTAAGATTAAAAAAGGATGTGTACAAAAAATGGAAAAGGGGGGAAACCACCAAAGAGGAATTCAAACAAATAGCCAGCACGTGTAGACACAAAGTCAGAAAAGCTAAAGCACAAAATGAACTCAGGCTTGCTAGAGAGGTTAAAAGCAACAAAAAAGGCTTTTATGGGTATGTTCGTAGCAAAAGGAAGAACAAAGAAACCGTGGGGTCACTCAGAGGAGAAGATGGTGAAATGCAAACAGGGGACACAGAAAGGGCTGAACTCCTCAATGCCTTCTTTGCCTCAGTCTTCTCCGATAAAGAAAACAATGCCCGACCTGAAGAATTTGGAGCAAATGATTCAGCAGAGGAAACACAGCCCAGAATAACTAAGGAGATAGTACAAGAATACTTGGCTAGTCTAGATGTATTCAAGTCTCCAGGGCCAGATGAACTGCATCCAAGAGTATTAAAAGAACTGGCAGATGTGATTTCAGAACCACTGGCAGTCATCTTTGAGAATTCCTGGAGAACAGGCGAAGTCCCGGCAGACTGGAGGAGGGCAAATGTTGTCCCTATTTTCAAAAAGGGGAAAAGAGAGGACCCAAATAATTACCGCCCAGTCAGTCTGACATCAATACCAGGGAAGATTCTGGAGCAGATCATTAAGCAAACAGTCTGTGAGCACCTAGAAAGGAATGCTGTGATCACCAATAGTCAGCATGGATTTCTGAAAAATAAGTCATGCCAGACTAACCTGATCTCGTTTTTTGACAGAATTACAAGCCTGATAGATGAAGGGAACGCAGTGGATGTAGTCTACCTTGATTTCAGCAAGGCATTTGACAAGGTGCCCCATGATATTCTTGTAAAGAAGCTGGTAAAATGCGGTCTTGACTATGCTACCACTCAGTGGATTTGTAACTGGCTGACTGACCGAACCCAAAGGGTGCTCATCAATGGTTCCTCTTCATCCTGGAGAAGAGTGACTAGTGGGGTGCCACAGGGTTCTGTCTTGGGCCCGGTCTTATTCAACATCTTTATCAACGACTTGGATGATGGACTCAAGGGCATCCTGATCAAATTTGCAGATGACACCAAACTGGGAGGGGTGGCTAACACCCCAGAGGACAGGATCACACTTCAAAACGACCTTGACAGATTAGAGAACTGGGCCAAAACAAACAAGATGAATTTTAACAGGGAGAAATGTAAAGTATTGCACTTGGGCAAAAAAAATGAGAGGCACAAATACAAGATGGGTGACACCTGGCTTGAGAGCAGTACATGTGAAAAGGATCTAGGAGTCTTGGTTGACCACAAACTTGACATGAGCCAACAGTGTGACGCGGCAGCTAAAAAAGCCAATGCAATTCTGGGCCTCATCAATAGGAGTATAGCATCTAGATCAAGGGAAGTAATAGTGCCACTGTATTCTGCTCTGGTCAGACCTCATCTGGAGTACTGTGTCCAGTTCTGGGCACCACAGTTCAAGAAGGACACTGACAAACTGGAACGTGTCCAGAGGAGGGCAACCAAAATGGTCAAAGGCCTGGAAATGATGCCTTATGAGGAACGGCTAAGGGAGCTGGGTATGTTTAGCCTGGAGAAGAGGAGGTTAAGGGGTGATATGATAGCCATGTTCAAATATATAAAAGGATGTCATATAGAGGAGGGAGAAAGGTTGTTTTCTGCTGCTCCAGAGAAGCGGACACAGAGCAATGGATCCAAACTACAAGAAAGAAGATTCCACCTAAACATTAGGAAGAACTTCCTGACAGTAAGAGCTGTTCGACAGTGGAATTTGCTGCCAAGGAGTGTGGTGGAGTCTCCTTCTTTGGAGGTCTTTAAGCAGAGGCTTGACAACCATATGTCAGGAGTGCTCTGATGGTGTTTCCTGCTTGGCAGGGGGTTGGACTCGATGGCCCTTGTGGTCTCTTCCAACTCTATGATTCTATGATTCTATGATTCTAAGTGACATGCTGTTACATGTATTTGTGTTAAATTGCACATAGCAGCTGGCAGGTGCTCTAAGAATTGGGGATACGACCTATGGGGAGGGAGGTGTTAACCAATTATTCCTCTGATACTGTTGAAAAGCCCTTCCCAAGCTGGTCTTTGGCACAGGTAAGGTAAAGGTAAAAAGACCCCGACCATTAGGTCCCGTCGTGGCTGACTCTGGGGTTGCGGCGCTCATCTCGCTTTATTGTCCAAGGGAGCCGGCGTACAGCTTCCGGGTCATGTGTCTAGCATGACTAAGCCGCTTCTGGCGAATCAGAGCAGCGCACGGAAACACCATTTACCTTCCTGCTGGAGCGGTACCTATTTATCTACTTGCACTTTGACGTGCTGTCGAACTGCTAGGTTGGCAGGAGCAGGGACCGAGCAACGGGAACTCCCCCTGTTGCGGGGATTCAAACAGCCAACCCTCTGATCGGCAAGTCCTAGGCTCTGGTTTAACCCACAGCACCACCCGCGTCCCTCCCCTTTGGCACAGGAGGAAACTCCTATTGGCGACTCCAATAGAAGTTGAGTATCAGAAGCTTCTCACCTCTGTATTCCATGCTTGATAAAGGTTTTCCTTTTCCACTGCTCTTAAAGACACAGGCGCCCTGCCCTTTAACCTGACATTTGTGTTGCAAATTAATTTTAAGGTCAAACACTAGAATATATATTGTCTACTTAAAATAGTTAAAACTGATGTGTTACCAATTTGTAAGGACACACAGCCATCAGTATTTAATATTATGAGTTTTATGGGGTGGCTAGTGTCCTGCCACTTCCATTTCGATTTTACTTTAAGCACTGCATTGAGCCTTGGTCCGCGAAAGCTTGATATTTTCTACTTTATTAGTGAGAGTGCATGACAGATTTATAAGCAAAACCAAGTCCCTGAATATCTGTTGGCTCATGTTTCCTGATAATTGAGGCCTGCCTTCATTCAGTTATTTTTTAAACCAGCAGGTGCTGATTAAAATGTAAGTTTTGTTAGTTCGTTTTCTGTGGGATTTGGCTTTCTTTTTAGGAATGTTTAGAGCATTGTTTCCCAGAATGACAGCTACATTAAATATCAAAGTTAACACTCAGCTTTCTTTAAAAAATGACTGTGAATTGTCATAAGAAGAGCCCTGCAATATTAGATCCATCTAGTCCACTGTTCTCTTTACCGCAATGGCCCAAATTCCTATGAGAAGACCAAAAACTACAGTTAACATTTAACTTCAGAATGTGGGAAATAAACAGGGGGATGGATCCAGACTCAGCTGTCTCTTAGGCTCCTTTGATATCAGTTGGACTTAAATTTTGACAAGTTTTCAGAATGCTGTCAATGAGATCTAAACTGAACTAATTCTTCTTCCAACCCATAGTGTTGATTTCAATTTAACGGCTTCTGTTTTATTTCTCCTACAGACAATTGAACAGTTGTATAACATAAAGAGAATGGAGGCGCAGAGACTTCCTTGTCCTCCGGCGTCACTAAAAGACCAGCCAGTTCAGCTCTCTTGCCTTCAAGCAGTGCCAGCAGCATCAAATCTCTCACTGAGTCCGGTGGTCCTTCAGCCAGAACAAGGTGTCTCCCAGACTATATATCTGAAAGCCCTTACCATACCACTTTATCAACCTACCCAGGCAGAATGTCATCATCCAAACAACAGACTGCCCACAGGCCGAACCAGTATCAACTTAGACAGCACTAATATGCCTTTAATCGTAAGCCCAGTTTTACGCTCAGAGGGGACAGATCAACTTCAGGCAGTCATTCAGAAGCAACCTAGGACAATAAATATAATTAGTGGTTTATCGGTTTTGCCACAAAATCCTTCTCCATGCGTGCCACTTGGAAGCCCAGGGAAATCCAAAAGTGCGGGGAAGTACCTCTGTAAACATTGTGGCCGTGATTGCCTAAAACCAAGTGTTCTTGAGAAACACATGCGCTCACATACAGGTGAGAGACCTTTTCCGTGTACTACGTGTGGCATTGCATTTAAAACTCAAAGCAATCTGTATAAACATAGGAGATCCCAAACACATGTAAACAATGCCAGGCAGCCCTCAGAATCTGACAGCAGTAGTACATTAGAAGAGACCGAGAAGGTGTCTGAAAGTGTTGGAGCTCTCCAGACAACAAAAGCCAACGATAGAAACTGTGACCAGCCAAGGACATTGATTAAACAAGCCATTTCAGAGTCCACAGATGTGTTAACTAGGGAGAAGCACCTTCCTGATGCTGCTTTGCCGGCAGTGAATGCTTTATTCCTTGGATCTGAAAACCAGTGGATGACAGCGGACAACTATCACGGAGGGCTAAGTCAGAATGCCCTTGAGAAAGAGACCATGAAAGATCCATTGAATTCGCTCCAGAGAAGAAAGATTCAGGAGCAAAGGTCTCCAACTGTCAGTAAGCACAGTCAGCTACAGAGGCAGCAAGCCACGTACTCGGAGAAGCTATGGGACAGCAGATCTCCAGACTACAAGCTGAAGAAATGTGAAAGCACTGACTCAGGATACCTGTCACGCTCTGATAGTGTGGAACAGCAGATGCTGTCTCCCAGCCCTCTGCACAGTCTTTGTGAGCACAGCATAGAGTCAGAAAGTGATACAGCCATTAGCAACCTCAGGTACACAGCAGGAAATAGCTCAAAAGTAGATTTGGCTGAGAAAGCACCAGGAGCCTTAACGTTTGAGAAAAAGAAATTGGAGGAGCATATCTCAAAGCTAATATCTCAAAATAAAGCTGTGGTGGATGACACCCAACTGGACAATGTTAGACCCAGGAAAACAGTCCTGTCCAAACAGGGCAGCATTGACTTGCCAATGCCTTATACGTATAAAGACTCGTTCCATTTTGACATACGGCCTGTTGACATAAACAGAAAAAAGAACCTTTCTCTGTTCTCAGCCAAGTCTATATTCACACCTGTGGAAAAATCAAAGCCATCGTTTTTTCACTCGGTCCCCACTCAGTTCTCTACGACAATTGATTGCGTGCCTGTTACCAGAAGTAACTCTTTGCCTTTTGTTGAGAGTACTAGGAGGGTACAGGATCAAATAGATAGTTCAAAATTAACTTCTTTCGCTAGAATGTCCCCAAACACAAGTTTTTCTGGTTTATTGCATAGCAACAACTTTGCTGCAAGTACAGCAGGCTTTCCTAACAGCCACCCCCGAGCACTTGTCAGGCAGGTGGCAGTAGATGACTTACTGCTAAGTAACGTGATTGAATCGTCATCTTCTTCGGAAGAGATGAAAGGCACTAAAAAGCCTGGAGCTGGGGGGGAAGGAGCAAACGCAAAGTATAAGAAACCCAGTCAAAGAAAATTCAAAATGTTCTCTCAGGAAAAATGGCAGGTTTATGGGGATGAGACATTTAAGAAAATCTACCAGAAAATGAAAAGCAGTCAAATGAGCAAGAAACCAAAGGAAAATAAGACAGATACTTCAAGCATCCATTTGGATGCCAAGGAAACAACTAGTCAGGAGGGAGTTACTCTGCCAAGAGAAGGCAGAAGCAACACAATGGCAGCCATTTCTGCAAAACTGAATACTGAAGAACTGAAAGGCCATTCTATCAGTAGTCCTATATTGCAATGTGTTTCCTTACAGGAGAGTTCAAGGAGCTTTGCAGAATCAATGGAAACATCAAGTACTGTCAGTGATTGTGAACACAGTGATATGACTCAAACACTTCTGGAACACAGGTGCAAAGAATTGGGTGTTTCAGAAGAAGAATCAAACAGCAACACTCAGGTCCAGCCTTTAAGTTCCAGTTGTGAACTGAAGTTCCCACTTCAGCAAGCCACAGATCAAGAGACTGTTACCTCATTAAACACCGCTAGCTTGCATAATACTGGCTCAGAGGAGACAATTGCACAAGAAGAATTTATTAAACTTTTGCCCCCATTACATGATGATATTTTGACCTGCAAAGGAGAAGATACTGGTGGAAAAGAAAGCTTTCAACTTAAGCAGGGGGGCTTACCACCACACCAGCGCGACAGCAGTGAGCCAGTGCAGGCACTTCAAAAGTTACCCTCAGAGAGAAAAAAGTTAAAAGTGGATAAACTGAAGAGCAAAGAAAATACAAAACTAAAAGTCAGTATTGGTCACAGCAGCTCAGAAGAGAGAACTGTGAAACCACTAGACCATTGCAAATTTCTTAATATGGTTGCTCCAGTATCAGTAAGTCACTCAGTTAAAGGAGAAAAGCAGACAGGAACAGTAGGAGCAAATGCATCAGGTGGCAACATGGAATATGAGGAAGCAGTCAAATATCCCATAATGGTTTCTAATAATAAGGGTGATGTTGCTAATCTCACTGATAAAGCAAGTGTACCAGCATTTTCATTTTCTGAACAACTCAAGGCTGGGATAAAAGAACACACCTGCAATTCATTTGCTTTACAAAAACTGACAGAAAACCCATGTCCGATGATAACGGGGACAGAAATGTCATATCAGAGTGGAGATACGGCACCACCCCACACACATAATATAGCAGTTGATCAAGGACCTCCACATCTAAAGAAAAATGAATTTCTCCCAAAGTATATCCTAAAACGTGCACAAGAAGCGAATAGTACAGACATGCCATTAATTCTAGCAGGAGTGTCAAAGGAAATGCCCTGTTTTTCACTGCCCTGCACGTCAACTGACTCCTCTTCCCTTGCCAGTAACAATAGATCAGTTGGAACCAGCTCCACAGATGTATTTTTGTGCCCTTTGCAATTGGAACTGAGTCATCTGAACAGAACAAAAGAGCTAAAAGGGGAAGTACATACAACGCTGAAGTCTCTGGTAGTTTGCTCACCAGCTATCCTAGAAACCACCAGCATCACAACCAGGTTAGACAGAAGATGCCATCTTCAGAATGTCAGGCAGAAGGAGAAGACGAAAGATGAGGGGAAAGGAGCTAATAGCAGAGACCATTTAGGTGATCAAAAGCTACCACAGGAAGGGGATGGACGTGTGATTGTTTGTACATCACAGATGCCAGGGGGAAAAATATGCTTTACATCTATGTACAGAGGAGGGTTTCTTATATCTTCGGACATGACAGGGCAGAGTCCCGCCCTTCAGTTAATACACTCAGGGAACAGTTCAGTTCTATCTGTGTCTTCATTGGTGGAAAGGGCAGTTTTTTGTGGAAACACAGACACAAAAATCACAGAATGGCAGTCGGCTGTTAACCCTTTTCCAGGATTTCAAGATCTGCCCAGCTGTTCGGTCGATAGTTCCAAATGCCTTTGCCATTCCTCGGATACGCTTTATTGCCATGTGCTCTGCACCCAACAAAAGGAAGTCTGCACTCTTTCCCAATTAAGTGCAGTTTCTCCTGCGGGAAACTTGAAAGTTCCAAGCTTGAATATATCCTTCCCAACTCTAAATGCGGAGCCTCAGCTAACGTGGTGCTGCTTATCTAGAAACCTCCCTCTTCCTGTTGAGCAGATGGAGAAGAAATATTCTGCTTATTCTTCCCTGCATACCTGCAAAAATGAAAGCATGGTGTCAAAATGTAGTCTTTCCTTTTGCCAAATGAAAAGTACCAAGAAGGCTGCTAGCCAAGGCTTGACGGCTGGGACCCCCAAAGCACCAGTCACTTGCTTTTCACAGAAGCAGCAGATAGAGAAGGTAATTCCTTTACTCCCTTCCTTCCCAAATAGAGGAATGTCACATTGTACCTAGAATAAAATGGAAGAATGGTGGTTAAGGAGCAGGCTCATATGTTATCTTGTTAGTACTTAATACTAGCAGCGTATGATCAATTCATACTCTGATATCCAAGGGCCATGGGGCCATCCATGACAAACATTGGTTGATAGCCTCAAAACATGGGGTGATCACCTACCTTAATAGAGCTCTCAGTCACGGTTATGACATGCTTTCCATGGGTTGTAGTATCTAACTAAGTCAGAGGTTTTCAACCTTTTTTAGTCCACGGCTCCCTTGACCAACTACATTCTTTCTGCAGCGCCCCTGTGGGGCTCAGGAGCCCAGTTATGTCACCCCTTGCCTGCGTAACTGGCAGCCTCTCCCCCTTCTACGAACACCTTCCCTTGTGGAGTATTCCCTCAGTCTGCTTACTTCGCCCCCTCTACTTGGGAGTCTCTGGGCAGCTGCTGCTACCGTCCCTGATCTCTGAGCACTCTCGCTCTCTAGCGCTCTATATATGGGTTAAATTCTTCCATAATTTTGGTGGTTAAAAAAATTACATTTATCTTGCCATTTTGTTTTATTTTTATATTTGCAGCAGTGCTTTACAACAACTGGATTTGATGTGCTGTTAAAAGGCATTCCAGAGGCAGAAGGGGCAAAAGAAAAGCTTAACAAAGTGAGAGGACTCGCAACCAATAAAGGAAAGAGAAGCCGTAAAAGGAAAAAAATGAAGATCAGTCAAAAACGGTGAGAAATATTGGGGTTCAATCTAATAGAAAAATATTTTTCTCTGGATATGTGTAGTATTTACAAACATGGCGTGGTGGTAGCTCCAGATGTACTGTTCTTGATGTCTTTTTCTCGCAGAACAAAAGTGCATGTGTGTATCTCTGTGGGTAGAAGTTTCATTGATGGTGTTCTCTTTGCAACAGCAACTAAAATGTGAAAAACCGGACTTTGTACCTGGTCAGGGCTGGTCTGTCCTGATGTGGCTGCCTCAGGTGCTCCCCCACTGCCACCTCTGGAGAGGTTCCTGTGAGCTTCCTGAGACCATGATAAATGAGGTGCTCCAGCAACCCCAATAAGCAAGGGAGCCATGAACAAGGCGGCACATTCCTATTTTGCCTCAGGTGGTGAAACGGGATGGGCTGCCCCGGTCCTGGCTATTTATGATTATATTTGTCTCCATAACTATTCTCTACTGGGACGCGGGTGGTGCTATGGGTTAAACCACAGAGCCTAGGACTTGCTGATCAGAAGGTCGGCGGTTCGAATCCCCACGACGGGGTGAGCTCCCTTTGCTTGGTCCCTGCTCCTGCCAACCTAGCAGTTCAAAAGCATGTCAAAGTGCAAGTAGATAAATAGGTACCGCCCCGGTGGGAAGGTAAACGGCGTTTCCGTGCACTGCTCTGGTTCATCAGAAGCGGCTTAGTCATGCTGGCCATATGACCTGGAAGCTGTACGCCGGCTCCCTCGACCAATAAAGTGAGATGAGCGCTGCAACCCCAGAGTCGGCCACGACTGGACCTAATGGTCAGGGGTCCCTTTACCTTTAACTATTCTCTGGCTCCCCCGTGAAAACAAAATGACTGAGTTCGTGAAGGAGAGAGTAGAAAGAGGTGACAAAGAAGGTGGGAGAGGAGAGAGCAAATAATAGATGCCAAAGGAAGTACAGGTGAAGGTATCTTCTCCCTTTACACCTCAGCATGGCTGATAAATCCTGAAATTTGACGAGCACTGTTTAATTGCAGTGCTCGTATAATGTTACATAAGAGCTGCCATAAAACACAATGTGATTAGCATGGGTGTAGTCCTGAATCTCATATCTGTAGTAACATCAGATTAGACCACGCATGAAGTCACCCTTGCCATTTGCAATATGGTTAAAAGAAAACTGAATTAGGCCAAATGGTTTTTGGACGAGAATTTGCTTTCTGATCGTAACTGACTGAACTCAGACAAAACAGATGGTATCATCAAGAATACTTAAAGTGAAGAATACATATGGAGCCACATTGTGACTTAGAACACATGTTATGTGGCTACCCTTGTCCCAAGTAGAAGATTAGCTGGCATTTTTGGCGTCATAGGCAACTAAGTTCAAGAAAGAGTTATGTGTGGGTTTGATTGGTCACCAAATTTCAGTTTACAATAATGAAGCAAAACAAATGGGTCTTAAGGCCAAGTCTTCAGCAGGGGTAAATCGCCTCTTTGGTGGCATTAACTGGATTAATGTTAAATTGCAGATATGTTTTCATATGCGTCATTATTGATTTCAAGATATTGGCAAGCACTACAGAACAAATAATGGCTTCATTACAAAACGGGAAAGGCAATATTTTCAGTATTAGTCATTAAAGCATATTTTATCCTGCTTTTCAATCATTTAGAGTCTAAAAAGTGAGAGCTGGAATGTTAAGAACCTGTTTTCTCATACAAAAGCCACATAAGACAGATGATCCACAAGATGTATGCTTCCCACTCTTGCTTGATCTGCTTCTGTGAACTGTTGTATATCAGGGGCTGGAATGTTGCTTAGAGCTGGAATCTCCACTTCAGCCACTAGGTTTCAGGGTGAACGTACTGCTGTGTTTCCAATCTGTGCATGTCCCATAACTTCCTGCTGAAATCCAGTAACTTTTTATACCATACATGGTTGGGTTGGGTTTTTAAATTCCTGGTTCTGGTTTTTTTTTTTGTTTTTTTTGCACTTCAGTGCAGGAGTTCCCCTGCAGATGGCAATAATGTGGTAACATTGGAGAAGCACCACAGAACAACTAATGAAGTAGAACCATGTGTGGATGGTCCAGTGTAGATCCATCACTAATGCACAGTTATTGTGTGGCATGTTGCAGAACATACCTGCGCAAAAGCACCAATCCGGAAGGGCCCTTCAATGCTTGTGATGAGATGTGGCCCTCGGGAAACAAGGTCATAAAGCATTCCAAAGACATAAACCTGTATATTTTACTTTGTAGATATAAGGGGAGTTATGGACATAGACACATTCTGCTGAAAACCAACAGACTGGGCAAGCAACGCTGGCCAGCAAACAGGCCCCTGGAGACCCCCAAAAGGCGTCCCAATTCCCACACATCTGACAGCCATGAACCTTGTGGGAAATGGTCCTGTCTTCCAACAGCCTCTCAAGGTAAGGTTAGCTCTCCATGGCTTATGCTACTACTTCTTCCTCTTCTTCTTCTTCTTCATTTTATTTCTATGCAGTGGTACCTCGGGTTACAGACGCTTCAGGTGACAGACTCCACCAACCCATAAATAGTACTTTGGGTTAAGAACTTTGCTTCAGGATGAGAACAGAAATCACGCTGCGACTGCGCGGCTGCAGCAGGAGGCCCCATTAGCGAAAGTGGTACCTCAGGTTAAGAACAGTTTCAGGTTAAGAACTGACCTCCAGAATAAATTAAGTTCTTAACACAAGGTACCACTGTACTGTTTTATATTTTTAAGAATAAACTCAAAGCGGTCTACAGAATATTAAAACATCAATAAAACACCAATAACACAATCAGAAGAAAATCAAATATAGAGTATACAGTCAAAGCGACATAATTAACAGAAAACTAAAATATTAGCTGGATGAATCCCAAGCTGGAAATAAGATTGCCGGAAGAAATATCAACAACCTCAGATATGCAGATGACACAACCTTGATGGCAGAAAGTGAGGAGGAATTAAAGAACCTTTTAATGAGGGTGAAAGAGGAGAGCGCAAAATATGGTCTGAAGCTCAACATCAAAAAAACGAAGATCATGGCCACTGGTCCCATCACCTCCTGGCAAATAGAAGGGGAAGAAATGGAGGCAGTGAGAGATTTTACTTTCTTGGGCTCCATGATCACTGCAGATGGTGACAGCAGCCACGAAATTAAAAGACGCCTGCTTCTTGGGAGAAGGGCAATGACAGGCCTAGACAGCATCTTGAGAAGTAGGGACGTCACCTTGCCAACAAAGGTCCGTATAGTTAAAGCCATGGTTTTCCCAGTAGTGATGTATGGAAGTGAGAGCTGGACCATAAAGAAGACTGATCACCGAAGAATTGATGCTTTTGAATTATGGTGCTGGAGGAGACTCTTGAGAGTCCCATGGACTGCAAGAAGATCAAACCTATCCATTCTTAGGGAAATCAGCCCTGAGTGCTCACTGGAAGGACAGATCCTGAAGCTGAGGCTCCAATACTTTGGCCACCTCATGAGAAGAGAAGACTCCCTGGAGAAGACACTGATGCTGGGAAAGATGGAGGGCACAAGGAGAAGGGGGCGACAGAGGACGAGATGGTTGGATAGTGTTTTTGAGGTTACCAGCATGAGTTTGACCAAACTGCGGGAAGTAGTGGAGGACAGAGGTGCCTGGCGGGCTCTGGTCCATGGGGTCACGAAGAGTCGGACACGACTAAACGACTAAACAACAACAACAACAAAAATATTAGCTTAAAGATTTCAAAATAAAACGTTACAAAGGAGGTCAACTACAGAATACATATTGAACACAAACAAAGTTAACAAAAAAAATAATCTTAAACATTTCCCCCAAAAAAATTTCTAAGTGAAGTCAAATTTAAAATGCACATTTAAAACAGCATGATTAACAAGAGAATAAAATAAGCGTGACACGGCTCTTTGGCAGGCACAAAAAAATGGGGCAAAATAATCCAGTAGTTACGGTTTGTTATCAGGCATAGCGATGTCCCTCTGGTCTCACCAGGAGCCTCTTTGGTGGAGCTGGGTGAGTCGTGTACTACATGTGTTTGGGAAGGGCTCGTAGGTCAGTGGGAGAGTAGCTGCTTTGAATGCAGAAGTTCAATCTTTCTCACAGACAGAGGTGGGGGGTACTCTGCCAGTGGTGCGTGTCCCAGGGGTGTGTGCCAGTAGCAGGGAGCATCTGGGGGGGGTGCCACCTGCGGCGATGTCACCCCCTCAGGTATGGCACCCGGGGCGTACCGCACGCACCTTGCTCTGCCTCTGCTCACAGAGGGATGCTGACTCCTGCTAAATACCTAGTTCTCTCTTCCTGTCAGCACAAGAATTTTCACTTGTGCAATAGGACTCCCCATGTGTTCCCCACACCCTTCCCAACTAAGTCTTGGAGGCTTGGGGAAACCCCTAGAATAGATTTAGGGGACATTCAATGGCGATAAAAGCCCAATGTGCAAGCTAAAATTGTTGCGCTGGTGGAGGCTTACATAGCGCTACATAGGTCATGTTCAAGGGGCATTCCTCCACAGCTCCCTTCATGGCAGCTTCACTGTCTTTCCCTCTTAATTCATGGTTCATATGAAAGATAGCCCTGGCACAAATGGTTACATGCCACATTCTTAATTACGTCAAGTAAGCATCTAATAGAAGGGACGCGCGTGGCGCTGTGAGCCTAGGGCTTGCCAATCAGAAGGTCGGCCGTTTGAATCCCCACGACGGGGTGAGCTCCCGTTGTTCGGTCCCTGCTCCTGCCAACCTAGCAGTTCGAAAGCATGAAGTGCAAGTAGATAAATAGGTACTGCTCCGGTGGGAAGGTAAATGGCGTTTCCGTGCGCTGCTCTGGTTCACCAGAAGCTGCTTAGTCATGCTGGCCACATGACCCGGAAGCTGTACGCCAGCTCCGTCAGCCAGTAAAGCGAGATGAGCGCCACAACCCCAGAGTCGTCCATGACTGGACCTAATGGTCAGAGGTCCCTTTAAGCATCTAATAGAACATTTGCTCTTGGATGCAGGTGAAAATTTTGGAAGATGCCAATTCTTGGCCATGCTGTCTAAGTTGTCAAGTCTTAAGTCTTGTATGTACTTACACTACACTCCTTAAAAGGGATGCACAATTATTCAGATTTGAAATGGCATGTCAAGGTGTCTGGTACCAGACAACCGATACCAAGACCGTGACAAATGTACTTGCATTAATTTTGAGTCAAGTGCAAAAGTACTTTAATTCCTATTGGGCCACATATGGTGCTAGTACAGGGATGGGGAACCTGTGGTCCTCCTGCAGTTGGACTACAACCCCCATCATTCCTCATCATTTACTGTGCTGGCTGGAGCTGATGGGAGTTGGGATTCAATAACACCTTGTGGGCCACAGGCTCCCCATCTCTATAGCAGTGGGACTTCATGTGTCCCAGGGCCCCCACTTAACACTGTCTGTCTTTGAATTAAAGTAGAGGCTTGGGGCAGTTTCCATTTCAGCAGATTCTCCTTGCTTCCACATCTTTCCCTTTTTAATCATCTCTGTTTAGCTCTTTGGTACCGGTTTCCTTGGAGACATGAACTAGTAATTGCTGCACTAAGGAGTGTAAGCTGTTTTTCAAGGGATGAGTATCTACGAGGCCCAGCTTTTCTATTGCTAAAGGATATATCAACGCCAGCATAGCATTTGTTTTCCAGCCTTTCTCTTGATCATTTAGATTGAAACTATAAGGCTGACAGTATTACACAGGATGGATTTTACAATAACGTGCTTTCAGCTTCCATGGATGGAAGTATGAAAACATGGACTATAGAGCTGAGAATTATTACACCATTATTTCCATCATGTTAAAAAAAGGGTATTAATAGGTTTAATCATACGTTCCCTGGTTACTTTGTTTCAGTGTGTTATTCCTTTGGGGCATTCCATTTTTCCTTCTCTGACTTCCAACTCATCTGTCATCTGTGAGGGCTCAAAGGTACCATACCCAGATGTGACAACTCTTTTCAAAGCATGAAACATGTTTCTACTCCCCTTGTTCCTAATTCTGGACACTTTCATCCACATTTGCACTCCCCCCTGCCCCCACTTCATTTACCTGTTGGTCTGCAATTCAGAATTCACATTCCTCTTCAACCAAACTCTTTGGCTGACTGAAATCTGATGCCCTTTTAAATGTGTTGTGGGAGGGGAGATTATTGGTTTGTGTTTGTATTTGTTCTTATTTTTATTATGTATTTTGTGTTTTTATATTGTAATTTTAAGTTGTGAACAGCCCTGAGATTTCTGGATGAAAGGTGGTATACAAATTTAATTGATGATGATGTTGCCATTGAAGTGCAGATAAATGTTGGCTTTGGGCATGGTAAACTAAATTTGATAGCCCAGCCTGGCTCACAGAGATGTTTAAATACGTTGATGTATTTCAAGACATAACAAGCAGTTAAGGTGGCAAAAACATCTACATAAATAAAGGTTTAAAATATTAAGCAACTGCTTGTAAAATTTCATTTGTCAAATGCGTTCTGTATATCACTAACTATGAATTCAAATCTTAAGTGGAAGCCACCTGGAACCTATTTGCCCAGAAAAAGTGGAAAACGAAAATCAGCCTGCTAACCACGGTGTCTCTGTTTTCTTTCCAAACAGGGAATGACCAAAATCTACAGCAGGAGACATCTTATGCCCCAACTGACAAAGCTGCTTCCTCTGTGAAAAAGAACCAGATGAAAGAAGTAAGGAGTCATTTGGGAATACCTTTTCAACTCTTGGTAACTCAAGTAACATTGGACTAATTGAAAGCTGAAAGGACAAGTAGTTGATAAACCAGCCATTCCCCCCTGCATAGTTTTAATATTCACAAAAAGCAATGGGATATTTTGGGCGGTACTCAACTTAATAATACTTAATTAAATCATTAAACAAACAAGTTAAAAGTACAATACAAAAAATAAAACATCAGTTGAAACTATAAAATCAAACTTAAATTAAAATGGCTACTGGAATTTTTTTAAAGTCTTCAGTAAGTACCAGAACTTCAGTAGGGAAGGGGCCTGGCTGACCTCAACTGAGAGTTCCATGAAATTGGTCCCACAGTACTAAACACGCTGTTCCTGGTGGAAATGAGTTGCGCATCTGAGCCATGAGTTATAAGAAAGACTTCAGTGATCAGGCAGGCATCCTAGAGTTATCCTCTATCCAAATTGTTAAGCACCTTGTAAAGTAACACCTGAACCTTGGAACTGGCCCTGTAGTGTAGGGCAGCCATATAGACTTGTTAGTGCTAGAATTATCACACAATGGAAGTCCCCCTCTTCTCTCTATGCACCTCCCCTAATTCTGATCCAGAAAGTTGGAGGAACTCCAGAACAGGATGGGGGAGGGGGTAGAAGGAGAGGAGAGGGAGAAGTTCATTTGTTCCATGAAAACTTACAGAACTACTTATCTATTAATATTATGAAAAGAAGAGGGGGAATGAAATGGTAGTCATTTGTGATGGTCAGTGATCTTCCATTTCGAATAAAGGTATTTGTATTACAAGATGAATTTTGGCAGGCACCATGGCTATCCATATGAAAACTTATCTCATGAATGTGTCACCCCCCAAATTTAAACATAGATGCCATTTACAAGAACAAGTTGCATGACATTCCTTTTCCAGAAGGTGCCTACTTACTGCAAGCTGTTTTGCAGTGAGAAAATAACCTTCAGCATAGGCCCTTAGTAGACTTCTTGACGAAATAAGACTTTAGCGCAAGTATTTTAATTTGTGCAACTTTCCCTTCCTCTCCTGCTGAATGCTTCACACCAATCTATAACAGTGAGTTTGGGACACTCCCAGAACTGGTTAAGTTGGGGGAAAGAGGAGAGGGAGGGGAAGTTCCATTACACAGCCAGAAGACCCTGCACTGACAGAAAGAGTGCACTGAATACTGCCCAGCAACAGCAATCCTAACCTCACTTACCTGGGAGTCATCACCATAGAATTCTGCGGGACTAACTTCTGGGTAAGGCTGCAGTCAGTGTAATTAATGAGTTATTTAATTTACACAATGCACTTGGTGGCTTTGGATTTGAAAGTGAATCCAATGAATTGATAATTTCATCTCCTTCTCTGGTAGGAAGTTCCTGAGTCTGCTAATGAACACTCCAGGGGCAGTCTCTCTCTTCATATGATGCCTGCAGTTCCAGATGTTTCAAAAGCAACATATTCCTTTACACTGGCCACTGATGCAGTAGTGGAAAAAGCAAACACCTTTGATGTCAACGCCTTAGGAATATTTAAGGAAGAACCACAGCCAGATGTTATTTCTGATGACTGTTGGCCTTCCATTGAGCATTGCAACTTTGAACTGATAGTTTCAGGCAAGAGCCACTCACACAGCATTGTGGATTCAAAGGTTATTAGTCCTATATTTGTGGGATCAAATGCAGACTGTGATAATGTAGAATCAAAGCATCAAAATTTTACCGACTTAGAGCCCTCTGGCCACGTCACAGGAAGAAAAGAAAAACCCACAGGTGGGGATTTATATCCATCTCTAAAAGAGCAGCTTGCCCCCACCTTCCAAACTCCATGTCCTGCTTTGTTCGGATCCAAGTTGCTTACTGGTACATCATTTTCAAGCGATCCTTTACATAGTTCAGGGCTTGTGCAGGAGACCAACAGCTCTCCTGGCCACTGTAGCTGTACAGAGAAGAACGTCCACTCTACAAAACTAGGCAATGATCAAGGAAAGCTTTCTAAGCCTGGATTTCCTCCTTTCAAAAACCCCTCTACTTTCATAGCTAGCTCTGGAACACTATCCAAACCCTACAAAAAACAAAGCTTAGAAGTGATGAGCAAACAAGCTCACGTGGAATATGACGACATAAGCAGCAGTGATGATGAAGACAGGCTGATTATAGAAATATAGTGACTAGCCCATCTGCTGTTGAAGAGAAGGCAGGAGTGGGAAACCTTTTCTCAGTCAAAGGGCCACATTCTCTCCTGGGAAACCTTCCAGGGGCCACATACTAGTGGTTGGCAGGGCTAGATGCAAAAGGTGAGTGGAAGCAAAGGCTAAATGGGCAGAGAAATGGGTGTACGACTCTCACCTCTGTACAGCAAGCGACATTCCAGCCATGCAGAAATCAGGTTTCTACATCCACGCCTCTGTCCTGGCAAGCAAGAAGCATTATCTACCCCACCAAAAGGACTTGACATCAGAGAATAGGGTTGGCAAAGGAAGTGGCTCGGGGAAGAGTCCTGAAAGCTGGCCTGAAGGCAAATTCAGACTCTAGACCTGAGGTTCTCCACCCCTGATATAGGGGCATGATCAACAGGAAGTCCTGTAAGGACCAGACAATTGTCATTCTGCCTTTATCCTCCACCTTAAGCGCAGGGGGAAAAAACACATTCCTGACCTCAGTTGGGTTTCTTTAGATGTGTTAATACTTTTATATGAAGCAAGGAAACAGTTGGTCCCCGCACAGTAAACCAACATTGCCGTAGCTCCTTGCTTCAAGTTTTGTTGTAAGCTCAATGCTATTGGTCAGTCTCTTATGTTGATACAATAGAAGGCAGAGACCATGTGCAATCTGAGGGTTGACACTTGAGTGTCACCAACTCGAGTTGTTTTCCCTGCTGCTGCTTTTCTGCAAGTTTTTCCATCTAGACTTTTGCATGAGGAGATCTGCACCTTTAAGACATCCTACAGCTTTTCCATATTGCATAAATATTCCGTGCTCCCTTGTGACAGACAACACAAGCATGTTTTGCTTTGTGTTTTGTGCCTTCTGAAATAGAATTTAAATATTTTATATCCCCCACTGCTCTGGTAACATGGCTCACCAGTGTTGAACATTTCCTGAGGTTTCTGAAATTGGAATATTTTGAGTTGTTTTCTAGGTTCAACAGGGTTGTTGTTCTTTTGTTTAAGCCCCAGGACTTGAATGCAAAATACCAAAACACATTTCCTTCCCCAGTTTTTGTGCTAGTCCAGTCTTTGAACTAGTGCAGCAGCAAAACACACTTCACTGAAGATTCACCAGCTTCTATGTACAAAGTCCAATTGGTCAAATTGAATTTTTCTAAACTGAACCCAATTTTGTTATAACACTAATTTGAAGTGATGCCAATTTTAAAATGCAATTGCACTATTGTATTATATTCAGGTTTTATATTTAGCATTTCATGAGAGTTTTGGAATACTTTTTGATGCTATGTTACAAGGCAATGAATCTTTCATGTGAAACTCAGAACTGCTTGGCTGCTTGCTCAAAACAAAATTTGTAAAAACTAAACTCTGTAGGCCACCTATTCCTGCTGGCCCCAAGTCTGCATTCCTAGGAAAGGCACACATTACTGAACAATAAAAAGCAAAGCAGCACATCCATAAAGATATGTAGGGCTGAAAATGATCAAACTTCTTATTGTTCCTTTCAACTTGTAAATGCAGACTTTTTATACTTTGCCAAATTGATAACCACATTGTAAGAGCTTTGTATTGATTATTAGTATACTGAATGTTGCAGGGTGGAAAAAAGCCTACCAAACCTAAAAATAATTTTTTTTACTACTACTGAAGAACTAGTACAGAATTGCATAAGCTCTGTCAGAAGGTGTGTAACAGAGGTATGCAGTATCGTCTTAGAAACTTTCTAGTAGGTGTTTCTTGGTGGGTTTTACATATGCTCTGCAAATGCCTTTCTATCTTCATGAAATCTTGTGCTTATTAAAACATTACCATAATTCCAAGTGAAGACTACAGTCATGGATGTTGGTATTTTTTCAGAGTGACAATAAGAGTCAATTCAGCTCCACTTGTTAATTGTAGGCATAACGATTATGACTGGATGTGAAATTTGCCCCCTTTATTCTTAAATGACAACTGTGCATCTCGCTGTGATGCATAATGTACAATGGTTGGTCGACAACGTTTGTTGACCCTTCTTCTGTCCTTTTCTTGCTGAAAGAAAAGAATGCCAAGAGATGCTGCATTTTCGCAAATCTAATGCACACCTCAATTTTCAAAACCTTGAAACCCAAAAAGTATTTGCTGGCACCATCAAATCTAATGCACACCCTAATTTTTGTGATGTAATTTAGGCCAAAAAAAGGTGTGCAATACATTCAAGTAAATATGGTACATTAGAAAAGGTTTTGTCTCCTGTAAACAAGCCAGCAGGCACTAGAATTAGCAGTCTTTCTCAACAGCTTATTAAAATGAGAATACAAGGTAGCAGAAATGATGTTTATTTTAATCTGAGCACATAGAGAAGTCCTTATGCTACTAGCACACAAGCTCCACCAACTGCTTTTATTTTTTCTTCTGCTTTTCTGCTGAAGAACTTCGCTTTCACAATTACAGGCTGTTTGGGCAGTTTCCCCTTGCCCAGGACTTTATAATAACCCTAAAAACATAAACAGATAGGAGAATCGTCAGCAAGCCCAGAAGGTACCAAGTTTTTTTTCCAACCATCACCGATCAGTTCCAATAAAACTAAAAAATTATGTACACTTTGTGAAATATTGCAAGTAAACAAACTGTGCCTAGCAGGGAAGCGGTAGAACTAGAGACTACAAGGGAGGGAAACAGAAAATAGCAACTTGACAGTATAAAGGAACATGTGCAATTTAAAGTGTGCTAGCTACTTCATGATATTCACTATGCCCATCACCATGACTCTCAGCATTCTTTAGCTGTGCATTCCAGCCAACAGAATATTTGGGTAATATGGGGCAATTAAAGTAAAAAAAAAAGCTGTTTGAAAGTGTGTAGTTAATGTAAAGAGACAGAGAGACGTTCCATCTTTTTACCACCCCCCCCCTTTGGATATACAATATAGTGTCTATAGACATACAATGAAGTCTCACCATATTTTCAGTATATGAGTAATAGAAAGAGCCAAGTCTATTGAATGGGCACTGCCTTTGTTTTGTTAATTGGAAAATTAGCTGTTCAAACTCCAGGGTTATAGGGTTACCAGTATCCTACAACTGCATTTTTACAATACGCAACATATGTCTATTTCACTCATAATGCTGACACAAGCCATGGCTTATTGCAAACAAGCAGGCTCCCAAAGTGGAGACTGTTGTTCCTTGGTCATTTTGCCCCTACACTACATAACTCCATGGCTTATCATCCAAACACAGGCTCATGGTTTAGCTCCTTCTGACAAACCAACAAACTGTAAAACCCACAATAAATTTAAGTAATGCAATCACTTTTGAAATGAAATATAAAAATGCCCACTCTACAGACCGTACAAGCCTGGCCTATAGCTTGGTCTCCACAATCTATGCCCCATCAAGCCAGATGCAGCCAACAGGTAGCAAAACCAAGAGGCTGGCAAACTCTGGGCAGACCTACTGTAGTCAAATTATGCAGACCTTCCTTGGTTTTCACACGATAGGAAGCAAATATAAAAGCAATATTTGGGAAGCTCTCATTATAAAAAGTTCATCCAAAAGTTTTTGACACTTACTGAGCGCACAACATCAATTACAGGTGATAATCCGGCCGGATTTTTGGCATACTTGAGCCTTGTCTGCTCACTAACAAGTGTCCACAGTTTATCCAGGTTGACTGTGGGACAGAAGTGCTGGTTTTTCTTCAAGTGGTAATGTCTCATACCAACCTTTCCAAAATAACCAGGATGGCTAGAAAGAAAAATCACAAGCTGAAAAATCACTGCATGATGCATTTTTAAATGCATGAGCAACAATACTTGGGTTTATTGGATGACCATGTCTAGGTTTACTGAGAAAAATATCTGGCACAGGTTAAGAGCAGAAGGTGTGAAGCAAACATTCTTAGTTCAAATCTGAGGGCAGCCATGAGCTCACAGTGCTTTTAAGTAAGCTGCTTTCTTAATACAGGGTACAAAGATGAGGCAAATATTGAGAAAGGAGAAAGCTCTACATGAGACATTGTTGTCTGCACCCTCGTGCTGACCCACCTCTCTTACTCTGAGGTAACCTTACTCTGTTACTAACCTGGTGGCTGACTGTACTATGCGGAGCACAGTCAGTGAATAAAAGTCAGTTGTCACTCTCTGAGCACTATAGCACACCATGATAACTGACAATATCTAGATGTGACTCTAGTCTCAGTTATTTGTAAATATGCAACTTCATTGTCTTACCAAATTCTCAGGGGAACAGATAAAAGCATGAAAAAGATTGTGCATGACAGTATATCATGGACTGGAACAGATAGATTATTGCTATTCTACATGTCTGTGTACATTTGAAATAAGCCAGAATCTAGAAGCTAAAAAAGAAATTTGTGTTGAGCCAGTTTGTTTTATGATACTAAGTGCACCTGAAGTCCAAATACAGTGGTACCTTGGTTCCTGAACAGCTTAGTTGTCAAACAAATCGGCTCCTGAATGCTGCAAACCCAGAAACGTTCTGGTTTGCAAATGTTTTTCGGAAGCCGAACATCTGACGCGGCTTCCACTTGAGTGCAGGAAGCTCCTGCAGCCAATCAGAAGCTGCACCTTGGTTTTCAAACCGTTTCAGGAGTCAAAGGGATTAAGTTCAACAACCAAGGTACCACTGTAATAAAAAGTGGGCTAGCACTTCCATTTTCTGGAAGGGCCATAGGTAGCTAGCTCAGTGGTAGACCATCTGATTTGCACACAGAAGGTCCTAAATTCAATCCCTGACATCTCCAGGTAACACTAGAGGAGACTCCTGCCTGCAACCTTGGAGACTCACTGCCAGTCAGTCAACAGTACTCATCTAGATAGACCAATGGTCTGATTCTGTATAGGGTAGCTTCCTACATTTGAAAACTACCATTGTAACTTCTTTGGAAATTTTTCTAATGCCCCGTATTGACCTGAGGTCCTATTTAGCATATTTTGCTAATATTTACTAAATAAAACAAGGGGGACCATCCAATCGTATTGGCCTCCTGCAGCACACTTCTGATTGTGCAAATTGGGGGGGGGGTCGTCCTCCCCTTGCAGCCTACTCCACCAAAAGAATTTGCTCTGAAAGGCTGAGGGGATCCCACTGTATTCCCCAAAACTATTTGAAATAAAATTCATTAGGAAAGCAGATACTAAATATACTTTACATAGACTTGTACTTACTGGCTTCCATAGAGCTCTGAGAAGCCACAAGTGATGAAAGTTCAAGCTTTCCACAGCTGTTGCAATAAAATACATGTATACTTTCCTTAAATACAGTTCAGTATTTGAAAACAGTATTTCTTAACTGCTGAATCTACATAGGTAGTTATTTTTTGGTGCCAGTTTTTTTTTTTTGGGGGGGGTGTTGATGAGGGAAGAAATGAAGGGAAGTAAAGAAAAAAGGGCTAGCTTACTATTTATCAAAGTTTATTCTGTGGTGGTGCAGGCCTCCAGCATTACCACGTCCTCCAGGATGCTTTCTATGCTTACCTAAAGAGAAACATCAAACAGAAATATTTTTTAAAAACTTTAAAGCAGAGAAACACGCACATACACTGCCAGCTTAAATGTTTATCATCACCAGTACTTAAAGACCACAACCCAACACAAGATTTAGGCAAGCTTAAGCCTGCAGACACACCCATACTATCATAGAGGAGTTAACTGTCCAAGAATTTAGAGCAAAACTTTAAACATGTTTACTCAGAAGTTCCATCGTGTTTCCCTCTAGTAAACATTTAGGAGTTCAGCCTTTGTATGAATCATAGTGAACCTGCAAAGGATCAGGCTACAGGTCTGCTGTGTGATTAGCTGCACCCCTACTGGCCTTAACAGCCAAGGTCGACTTCCAGTTTATGGCTTTAAAAAGCTCAATTTTTTTTATCAGGCTAGCAAAGCACTGAGATCTACTTTCTTCAGGCCACATTTCTAGGAACTTGGAATTTCCACTTTCTAAAGTTATGTCATTCATGCTACGCTAGCTCTAAGCAAACTGCCAGTATAATTACTTACACAAAGCAGGACTTAGGACAGTAGTTCTTTTACCTGTTCATTGTCCCCAATGCCTGCCTAAAAATATATGGTTAGGCTACAACTGTTCCAGAGGCCATGTAGTGGATGCCATTTTGGGTTTAGAACAGGGCCTGAAGGGATGTGGGAAACCTATGCAAGTTTAGGCACCAGGTATGGTAAATTCATTTGAGTCAAGGAGTGAAGCAGAACTTGTTAATAAGCAATCATATATTTATTATTGATGCTTTTTATCTCTGCTTCTATACAATAACCATATTGCATTTCATAACAGTTCTGACTCAAGAGCTACGCTAAATACACTTATTAAAACTTCTCTGTTACCTATTTTCCTGCAAAGAGCTTCAACCTCAGATTAGCAAGGGGAAACCTTGGCTGAGATAAAGTAGGTACTAAGGAACTTCTTCCCCATTGCTTGTATTCATTCTGGAATGTGCAAGCTGGACCTCAAAGGCATGCTGGTTGTAGCTATGGAAAGATAGCCCTTGCTAGCAGCTAACACCTCAAGGACAATCTATCCCCATATGAACTGACCCAGATCATTGTTTGAGGTCCTTCGTGTGCATCCTCTGCCAGATGTCCAGAGGGGAGCAACAAAAGAATAGGCCTTTTCTGCTTGCCTGACGCCTTTGTTACCTGTCTTTAGGAGCCGGGCAAAAACATTTCTCCCAGGCTTTTGGCTAATTAAACCATCTATGGCCTTTTAAACTGTGTGTGTGAAGGGGGGGGTTATTGTTTTAGTTTGTAATTATGCTATATATTTTTGTGTTTTTATATTGTAAACCACCCTGTGATCTTTGGATGAAAGGCGATATAAAAAATAAATAAATCATATGCTTTACTCCCATCCAACTACACTCAGGAGTTTTTTTTAAAAAGGGGGGGGGAGCAAGCAGAAAACTAGAAGTGTCAGACACCAAAAAGCCTTTTTTCCCTTTAGGTTTAAGTCACCTGATAACCAGGGAAGAAGATTCCAAAACCCTGTGAAGCAACAATAGATTTAAGTAGCAAAATAGTTCTACATGGAAGCTGCTTCTACACGTACCAATACGACCATGGCCGTGGCTGACGTGACCTCGCAGTTTCCTGGTCTTCCTCAGTCTTGAAGGCTTAAGAAAAAGACAATACGACAGCATATGTTATATTAGTGCCCAATGAAAGAAGAACAAATGTAGCATGATGTTTCAAAAATCAACCAATGATTAGAATACACCAGTGGAGGATCTCCAGCTTGGAACAATTGCTTATGAACCTTAATCAGATTTACAGGCCTGGTTAATGTGTGCCTCCCATTTACCTTTCCTGAAGACACTGGCATTTGAATGTTTGGTGTGTTTTGACTGTTTAATTCACTTCAAGTGGTGCTTACCGGTAAATAAGTAATCTCATATTTTTTTCTCACCTCAGGATGGCATATACACCATTATCCTCACAAATTCCTGTGTCTACGTTAGGCTGTGATCAGTCCAAGATCACCCTGTGAGCCACAGGGCTGCATGAGGATTTGAACCTTGGTCTCTGCAGCCTGAAACTTTAACCACCATACTAGTACGGATACCATACTGTATATGCATCAATATGCTATAGCGCTAGCCGTACTAAGCTAGCAAGATAAGCCACACTAAAAACTATGTAAATAAAATAAAATAAAGACACCTATAAATAAAATAAATCCCTTCAGGTCAGCGGTCTTTTCAGGCTATTAAGATTGGATTCAATAATAGTATATAGGCATGTTCAGACATTCACCTGAATATGGGAGTAGAACCCTCTGCAACCCCTAATATCCCCACGTGCACTAGCCCTGCCTGTTCATTTCCTGACCTTCCTATGTTGAGCTGAGGTCTGAAGCAGCCTTTCACTTGAATGTGCAGCTTGGTTTCCCGATTAAAATTGGGTTCCCAATCAAGCAAACATGACTAAAATCCCCCTTCAGACCTTCCTCACTCAACGTAGGAAGGGCCATAGCTCCATGGTAGAGCACACAGAAATGGCTCTTAGTTCAATCCCTGGCATCTCCACCTCCAGGTAGGGCTGGGAATGATTTCTCCCAGTCCTGGAGAGCCACTGCCTGCCCAAAACCCCAACTGAACTAGATGAACCAACCATCTGATTTGGTGTGAGTTTCCTATCTGGCATGTGGTATATTTCCCAGTATACCTGAAGAAGCGTCTTCACCCCCATTGTTCAGCCCAGACACTGAGGTCCAGTTCCGAGGGCCTTCTGGCGGTTTCCTCACTGTGAGAAATGAGATTACAAGGAACCAGGTAGAGGGCCCACCCTGTGGAACGCCCTCCTATCAGATGTCAAGGAAATAAACAACTAACTTTTAGAAGACATCTGAAGGCAGCCCTGTTCAGGGAAGTTTTTAATGTTTGATGTTTTATCACATTTTTAATATTCTGTTGGGAGCCGCCCAGAGTGGATGGGGAAACCCAGCCAGATGGGAGGGATATAAATAATAAATTATTATTATTAAAAGCAGGCAAAGCAAAAATTACAGTGCAGCTCTCCCCAGAGGTCAACTAAGCAAGCCTGTTCACCTACACATAGTGGGACACCCATGTATGACACATTGCAAAGAGCAGAAACATAAGGCATTGGAGCAGCCTTCAGAAAGAAAACGCTTTTGGACCTGTGCGCAAATATTTTTATACCATGAAACACTCGAAAATTGCTGAGGGGTCTTGTCAGACCACTTGATGATGGTCTTTTTCCCCCATTGGAGCAATGGTAAAGTGTTGCGGTAGATGCTGTACGATTTAAAAGTTTTATTTTTACAGACGTGCTGCATACAGCAGGCCGCCTGAGTGAACCTCACGAGCCACTTTCTAGTCCGGAGTTTAGGAGCCCCTGATCTAAAGGGCACCCCCCGCCCCCAGCTATCCCTTCGACTGAGAAAGGAGATCAGTAACAGAATTTTGTTTTTTGGGGGGGGGCGCTGCTTCATACAACACCCAACCCCACCATGGGCCGTGGGGCTTAAAAAGAAAGCCGTAGGGAGAAGCGCCTGTCCCGATGAGCTGGAGGAGGCAGGGAAGCGTGTCGTGGATGTTGTCTTTCCAACAAGAACCCTGCGAGGTAGGACAGGCCGAGAGCGAAGGGGGGGCTCCGAGTGCAGAGCCCGGCCATGACTTCACTGTTATTAAAAGTCCCCCAGAAACCCCCCCCCCGCCCCGAGAGGCAGCCGCCATTCCCTCGCGGCCAAGTCCCCGGCGGCCACCCTCCGTCGCGAGAAACGGCGTCTGAGGCGCCGGACTACCAGGCCCCGCTCCTCAGGCGGCGCACCCGCCTCACTCGTCACCTACCATCTTGGCGGCTCCAAGAAGATAAAAGGGAAAGAGCGCTCCTCTCGCGAGATTTCAGGGAAAGGAAAAAGCCCTTCTATCGCGAGGCCTCAAGCCCGCCTCGGGGATGGCCCTTGTAAACGACGCGCGCACGCGGAGAATGAGAGAGAGAGAGAGAGAGAGAGAGAGAGAGAGAGAGAGAGAGAGGAGTCTCGCGATATTCGGGGTGCCGGCTTTCGCGCGGCGGCGTTCTGTTGATCACGTGGCCCCAGAAAAAAAAAACCAAAAACGCGTCGCGGTCGTCAATAGCAACTGAGAAGACTCAGAAGCGCTTGTTGCATAGATCGTGGTTTTATTAGAGGTGGGGGGGGGGAAGTTTAGAGCGGCACATGGGGAGGTCTTTCGGTTCTCTATGGTTTACATGGTGCCAGATGCTGAGAACTCTTGTCCCCTCCCCCATAGCGCAGCCCCGTGCACGTCTGCATACGAGTGCAACCTCTGCTCTGTGTGTTCTTACTCCCAGATATGTCCCCGCCGGGGTAAGAATCATCTATCGAGCAGATGGAAAGCTCTTTAATCTGAGCAGGCTGAAAGCAAAGAGTAAGGTAACTTCTGTCATAGAGCTTCAGTATGCTGATGACAACGTAGTGTGTTCCCACACAGATGATGACCTCTTAACCATCCTAAATGTCTTCGCAGAAGCGTACAAAAATCTTGGCCTATCGCCCAGCATCCCCAAAAAACCCAAAGTGCTGCACCAATAAGCACAAACCAACCCCTCTGCAGCGCCACAAATCCAACTCCATGGTGTACTGTTGGCAAGTGCCAATTACTTTGCCTACCCTGGCAGTTATCTTTCCACAGTGCTGAAATCCAGCATTGCCTGAGCTCTGCGAGCGCAGCTTTCTCCTGATGGAAGTGCAGAGTGTTTGAGGACTGGTACATTCACAGGCAAATCAAACAGCTTGTTTACAAAGCTATTGTATTACAGTGGTACCTCTGGTTATGAACTTAATTCGTTCTGGAGGTCCATTCTTAAGCTGTAACCATTCTTATCCTGAGGCGCGCTTTCGCTAGTGGGGTCTCCCGCTGCAGAGGCACGCAATTCCCATTCGCATCCTGGGGCAAAGTTTGCAACCAGGAGCAGCTACTTCCGGGTTAGCGGAGTTCTTAACCCAAAGCGTTCGTAACCAGAAGTGTTCATAATCAGAGGTACCACTGTACCAACTTTACTGCATGCTTGTGAAACATGGACCACTTATAAATGCCATCTCCAATTCCTCGAAAGATTCCATCAGCGGTTTCTCTGAAAATTTTTACACATCACTTGGGAAGACAGGCGAACTAATGCCAGTGTACTGGAAGAAGCAGAGATTGCCAGTGTTGAAGCAATGATTCTTCAACATCGTTGAACTGGTCATGTTTGGTTTCCTGATTATCGTCTTCCAAAGCACCTACTCTATTCCCAACTTGAAAATGGAAAGTGTAATGCTGGTGGTCAACAAAAGAGGTTTAAAGACTCTCTCAAGGTAAATCTAAAAAAAGGTAGGATAAACACCAACAATTAGAAAACACTGGCCTGCGTGTGCTCCAGCGGGGGAGCAGCCATTACCAAAGGCAGGGGTAGTAAACCTTTTTAGACCTACCACCAACTAATGCATCATTCTTGATGGTAAAATTTCCTTACCGCCCACCAGTGCTCGATGGAAGGAGGGTTCCACTTGTGCCTACTGCCCACCTAGAATCCTGAAATGCCCACTAGTGGGCGGTAGGGACCAGGTTGACAACCCCTGACCAAAGATGTCTTGGGCTTTGAAGATGCTCAAACTCTGGAGGAAAGGGAGAAAAGTGCTAAGAGGAAGGCACTTTTGACAAACCCTCACCATGATCAACTCCCACCCGGAAACCTATGTCCTCACTGTGGAAGGACATGTAGATCCAGAATTGGCCTCCACAGTCACCTACGGAGACACCGTTAAGACCGTGTTCATGGAAGACAACCTTATTTGGCTTTGAGTGATCACCAAAGAAGAGAAGAAGACTCCCAGGCAAGTGTGCGTAGGTTTGTGTTAGGAAATCGATGCTGTGATAGACAAGCACCTGCAAGGATTGCAGTGGTGTGGCAGGTTCTGCTCTCTGTATCTTCCTCTTTTAGGTGGTTGGTAAAAGCTGCTTTTAAAATTTATATACACACACGAATATTGCCATTATATTGTTTTAATGTGTGCAACTTTCTTCCTTTAAAAAAACCAAAAACCTTTGGTAATCCACTTTAATTATTATAACAACAAAAGGCAGGCTACGGATAATAAACTGAACTGTTTAAATTCCAAGTATTGCTTCTTTCTCCGTTGATGTTTCTTTCCCCCTCCATTTTATTTATTTGGGCATACATTAGTCTCAATATTTTTTCCAACACGTTGTAAGAGCTCAACCCTAAAGCATTTAAGATCAGTCTATTTATGCACCTAGAGGTATCAGAGTGAATCAGTGCCAGACGGCAGTAGAACCTTTTATTAATTTTCCCAGCATTCTGCCTTCTGGGTAGAAGAATGACATGATTATTAACCTTCCTCATTCAGAATACAAATTCAGCATGCTTCATTTTCATTAAACAAGTTTATATTCTGCATTTCAAGGAGATAATATATATATATATATATACAGGGTTCTTCCCTTCACTCCTTTTTATCCTCAGAACCGTGTACGTTTGAATGATAGTGACTTCCCCAATGTGAGTTTCATGGCTGACTGGGGATTTGAACCTGGGTCTTGATTCCCTACTTTAACCACTACACCTCCTCTCATTTATTTACTCTCTATTTCACCCGCGTCTGCAAAAACAAGCTATCATTTTTAAATTGATTTGCTTGATTATATTTCTTTTTTTTATTAAAAATTTTTTTTATTAACCGACCAATCAAATCAAATCAAATCACATCACATAAATTCCAAATTACAAAGCCGAATTTTAAATTTTGTTGAGGGGACCCATATTTCAAGATCCGAAGGGGGATTCTGATCATCTTCTTGCTACTGTGTTAATGTCCAAATCAGTCCAAACAAAGTTCATAATTCTATCCAGTCTTATCTTGCTGTTTCCACATCTCATCTTGTTCGTATATTTTCTCTTTTTTCTTTATGATCTCTTCTGATAATCTCCTTAAGCCGATAAATACCAATAATAATCCTGTGTGAATTTTTCCGTTTGTCCAATCCTCAAATCGAGATGGTTTCCATATATCATCGCATTCATAGATAACATCGCTCTTTCCATCATTAATCACAGAACTGTCATTCTTAAGTCCCTCTGAGGAGTTTCACCCACAATATAAAAACAGCTCTATTTCTCTATTTCTCCTCCCAGACTTAAGTCCTCTGACAGAACTTCCCAATATGGCAACGGTATTTTTAACTGCGTCATTCCAAAGCCCTTATACATTCCACGCTCTTCTTAAAGCATGCTTTGGTTAGAATGTTTATCCCTACACAGACATAAATCCACAGCTAAGTCCTTCAAACGACATTTCTGACTTGTGAGGGGGGGTGTTCTTGTTTAATCAAATAGAGAAAAGAAAGGAAAGTTCCCCCCTCCCCCATCCAGTCCCTTTGCCATACCGAGTCTTTTTTTTTTTTAATAAAATTTTTATTTGGTTTTCTGGTTTTATAAAGACAAAACATACACAAAGAAAAGAAAAAGACAAAAACATGTATAAAATCAACCAATCCCCGTTTCATAAACTTGTTCCCTGACTTCCCCCCACCTCCCCTCGTGCATCCCAGTTTCAAGATTATATCAGCAAGTTGGTATTTCTCCTCTTAACAATGTTATTCATCACCTTATTTTATAATAAAAATTAATTTTCCTAAGTTGGACTTAAGTTCTCTTCCATCGATTTTCATTTTATCTTAATTAAGAGTCATATTAACCAAACCTAAAAGTCTTAAGAGTTTTTAAGAGTCTCTTCTTCCCTCCCTCCCATCCCCGGTTTTTGTCCCTTCCCAATAAAAATCCAAATTCGAATTTCTCAGCCTGGGTTCCTCACGTCCGAGGCTTTCAAATCCCTTTCAGTCCCTCTCCGCCTGTCCCGTTGGTAGTCCTTTATGTCAGTCATCAAGTCTGGGAAAAGTTCTTTCACCATCAAAGTGTTTCCTCTTCCCACAAGGGGGTTCAAAAGTAACTGCTGAAGAATTTCCACAAAGTCTATCTCTTCAAGATCAAAGTCCAAACGGAGGCCCCAAGCATATTTCTTTATTTTAAATTTCTGTGTTCCATTTTGTCCCGGGACCTCCTTCTTCTTCTTCTGTATCTTTCGCAGACTTGTAGTAGATATGTTCCCAGCGTTTCCTTGCTTATGTTCCGCAGATGTCAACTTTTGGTTGTTACTTCCCAGGATTACTTCTTCTTTTTCTTGTTGTTTAGTCTCTTCCAACTCTGTAGGTATTGTTTCCCATTCAGCTGTGAATTCTTTCTCGTTGAGGTCCTCAATACAGAGAGCAGAGTTGCCTGTTCCCAAGGTCATAGTCTCAAGCTGTTTATTTGCATACCGAGTCTTGGTGTATCTTCATCTGGTTAATTCTTGTTCCTCCGACTCGTCTTGTTTATCAGAGATCTCTTCTGTTAGCAGTCTTTACTCCCCCTCCTTCCTTGAAAAATGTGCATTCGCTTCATCCTAATCGTTTCTTTTGAAGTTCTTGCAGCTAGAGGCGCGGATCAGAGGCAGCGTCCAGGAGCGCTGAAATCCACAGGAGGGCATTCTGCCTAGTGCCCCCATCCCCACAAATTTGGGGGTGGTATAGGGCACAGCAGGCAAGGGCAGCCCCCCCAATCCTGGGGGGTAGGGAGGCTATTTACTCCCATCACAGCCTCCAAATTACCTCGTGTGGGTCGGAGAGATGTTATTGTCAGCCATCTTCTGATGCTCCCCTAGTGGCCCCTTGCTTGATTATATTTCTATGCCACTTTTCATTCACATGAATAAAAAAGCAGCTTACAAACAAAAAACAACAACAATGACATAACTTGTTGTTTAGTCATTTAGTCGTGTCCGACTCTTCGTAACCCCATGGACCAGAGCACGCCAGACATTCCTGTCTTCCACTGCCTCCCGCAGTTTGGTCAAACTCATGCTGG